TCTGTATTAGCTGTTGGTCCGTAGCGTGTGGTGTTACCTGAATAAACAGAGCACGAATCAAGACAAGGAAGTTTAGGCTTCAATTTCTCTCTGAAATGGCTTGCTTGGCGACATTTTTCAGAAGTCAAGTTATTAGCGTCCCAGTTCACAACGTTTTCTTCCCTCCCAGTACTTCACTTCTGTCAAACCAAAATTAGTAGGTAGTACTCGTCAGGAACTTGACTCCAGACTGTTTCAGACAATTACTTTCTCTTAAAGATTTATCATTACCTTTGTAATACAAAACAGTTAACTGACTCTTGGTCTCAAGCACAGCAGGAAACAAATTCAATCTGAGAACAGCAAGACTGAAAATTTTTGGTCAGGCAAATACCTAATGTGTTCTAGATATGTACCCCCTGCTGGAGTCCAGGCATTTCCCTCTGTCTGCCCCTGCATTGTCTGAATACCAAGAACAAAACCAGAGTTATTTGCCTTCTCTCTTTAGCCAGCCCTCTGTCATTTAAATAGATTCTGGTGGGACTTGGACTCCAGCCAAATTGCTGTGTGAAAAGTCAGGTATAATATACATACATAACACAATTTCTTACACACTTTTATATATTATATTTTTGAGGGCTTGGATTTTTTTTTTTTTCCAAGTTTCTTACTTGAGAAATAGCTGTATGTAGAGAAGGATCAAATCTTAGTTGCCTTACCTGGAATTGCTTCAGTTTTCACTAAACAGCCAGTTTTATCACATACAAGGAAAGATAGGAATACCAAGAAAAAGAATCTCTGCAACTTGCAGAATTTCAGAGTTTCCATTCACATCATGACCTGATTTACCTGACTGACTTGGGGATCCACCTGTTATTCTGAGATGTTTTCCAATAGTAATAACAATCATGAGCCTTTTATAAGCTTTCAATTTTCAGTATATTTCTTTCCTGTTTCTGCAACTACAAACTGATTTCTAACTCCTACTCTTTCAGCAGTGAAAACTACAGCCCAGGCATCACAGTCATTCAAATAAATACTCAAAATGAACGTCTCAGGGATCAGAGAAAAGCTGTGTTTTCTGAACATGTTACACACCACATGGATATTGAAGGCTGAAGTGCTGGGAACTATCCAGACCAAAGCCACACTAAAAGCTCCACAGTGTGCCCCAATGAAGTTTAGGAGCCACAGGGTCCAGCAAGCCAAATCACTCCTCCCAGGGTTTACAACAGTCCCAGCAGTGAATTGACCAACGTGCCTCTGTTTCCAGCCTCGGAACCTGCAGTCACCTCACATGCCACACAAATAGGAACCTACCAAGTTACCTATGAGGAGGGGAAAAAAAAAGTCATAAATCAGACTTTTTTTCCTCCACCTGGTAATCATACAGTGTGGTACAGTGATTTTATCACATTTTTCCCAGCAGTGTCCCTGTACACACCACACTGTTACAAATGAAAGCAAAACTATAAGCTAGGTTGCATGAGAACACCTCTCAACACAACAGCTTCCCATCATAGGTAAAACCAGGTATAGCTGTTCTTGCAGTGAAACCTCACCACTCCTAAGGAAAGAAAAGGGGGAAAAAAAGCCTCAGAAAGGTACACCTTTTTATTATCACAGAGCAGTGTGAAAGAAAGATTGGGCCAGGAAATTATTTAATCAGCTAAGGGTACATCCATAGTTTAAGCATATATGTATTTTATATCTCATGTTCCTGAAGATGGAAAGATTAAGATTGGCCCAGGACTGGGCAACAGACTGTTTAACAAATATGAGATTAAATTGTCTGCATTAAAATAAACCTTTTCCTCTCTCTTCACTGATAAATTTGTGGTTTATATTTAGGTTAGCAGGCATAGCTTTTTGGAAAGGTATCAATATTGTATTGTTATACAGAGACAATTTTTAACAATATTTTGAATCCAAACACATTCATGGTGAGATCAATAATAATTTAAATAACTTATTCTACCCTCTTTTTTTCCTCCAAAATGGGATATGAATTATGCATTTGAGTTTAATAGGCAACCGCTGAGGAGACCATTAACTCAAACACTCTTACAGCAATTAGCTTTTATCTGCTATGGATCGGTTTCAGTATTTTCTGTTTGAAGTAGAAAGCGTCAGTAAGTGCCAAATTAAAGGCGAACCACAGCCAAGATGAATTTCTGTAAGAAAAGCAGATGCAAGGCAAAAGCAGTTTTCTTTTTTATAAACTGCCCAAACCTCTTTTCCGTGATCCCCTGTAACCTTCCTATGTTTTAAGTTGGTTGTTCTACCAGAGACAGCCCTCGGCTGATCGGTTTGTGCTGAAACTTGCACTTGGGTTTATCCCGTGACTGGGATAGCAGGGAAGCATTAACTCCCAATTTAAAAAGTGTTAACTTCATCTTTTGAACAAAGTGTCAGAGTATTGCACATGATTTACTGCCACCAAATCCCCTTTAAAACTTCCAAGCACGGTGAGTTAACTTGATGGGTGGGGTAGTTTTTGCCACTCCAAGCCTCCAGCTGGTATTGGACTATTGAAATTACTTAAATAAACAGCACTTACCCTCATCTGTGTTGTTTTAGTTGTGCTGATTGCTCTGTGATGACTTTAAAGGTACCGCCCGAAGTCTTAAAGACTTGGGTGTTCCTTCCTAAACATCAGGTGAATTACTGATCATCTCCCAGATAACAATAACTAACTATTTAGGACTGATTTATTAGGACTCCCCCCATTACCTTTGTTTAAAGAGAAGAGTAAAGGGAAGAGGGAAGAGTGAGCCCTGAAGCATATGCTGCATGTTCTATTTAAATATTTTTATTCCTGAATTAATAGGAAACACCACAGTTGTACAATGAGGTGACTTTGCTGCATCATACGTATCATGGATATCTGAATGTTAAATCATTAAGGTAGGGACTGTCACCTGTGCTCCTGAATACCAAAATACCCATATCCAGAGCAGCACCAGGCTTACATTAGCTGTGGACAGGTTTACTACTTTTTGTCCTACAGGACATATTTCACTGTATATTCTCATGATCTACAGACCCGATAGAAAATTCGGGAGAGGTGTTATTTCAACACTGTGGCTTAATGCACAAAACCATTTAATAGGCTCTCTCAAGAAACAGCACTTCTCATCCACTTCACAGCAAGCAGAGAGAATAGCCTCAATGGATAATCACTTTCCTCCTTTCCCTTACACACTCACCACTCACCGGCAAGGGCAGGGGCAACGTGAACAAAGAGGCTTGCTTTAGAAAAATCCCAGTTACCACCTGCTCTGCAGGTCTTTGCAATAGCATGAGGATGGGCCAGGAAAGGTCCACCACAAAAACCTTCTATCAGCACAGGAAAAAGTAGCAGCTTCCTAGCTTTTGTCCTTGTTGAAAGGACCTGGAGCATTCCAGGATCTCAAGTGGTAACTGAGCAGCATCCGTAGTACCACACAGCAGCAGGCATCAAAAAACTATTCTTCAGTACTTGGGTTTTTTAATTATTACTATTATTTTTCACACTTGCCTTCCTCTTGGGCATGTCCCCTTCCCCTGTTTCTTCTTGAAGGCTGGTGGCCATACTGCTGGCAGCCACTAGAGGATGCCCCCAGGGTATTTGGTGGTGGCAGCAGCAGGTCTGTTTGACAGGCTGGAGAAAAACCTTACAGTCCTTCTTGGGCTGCTCCTTTCTCCCTGCGGCGTTAGCACCCATGTCCTCACACATCTGCAGGTTAATTTTCCATTGTTGGAGGTTGCCTGAGGTTAATTTTGCTTTGTAGAGGCAGGAGGTGAGCCAGCCGCAGGATTTTCCCAGTAGCTCCGAACCTCTGCTGGGGCAAGGGGGGAGTGAGAAAATTCCTCAAGCAATGGGAGAGTGAAAGCCCAGCATCTCTGCTTGTCAGAAACAGCTGTGTGTTACGAGGAGGAAGGCCCCTGCCAAAGAAGACGATTGCACCTATCCTTTTCTGCCCACTGCAGCGTGAAAGTGGAGCCAGGCTTCAAGTCCCTCGGCAGACCCCAAGGACCCCTGAGGTGTCTCCCTTGGACTGGCTAGACACAAGGTCCCAAGGGTGCCTCTCCAACTGCTGAGTTGAACTCCTCCCTGGGGGGTCTCCTTGGCCAGCCCTGCTCCTCTCCCTGGCCTGGTGATTATCCAGTAAGCTGCTCGTGCCAGCTCACTTGTTATAAAAGCACCTCTAGATTTCAGCCCAGGGTTTATTTATTGAGTTTCTCTGCACTTTTCCTTTCTTCTCCTCTCCTGCCAAGACCCAGAAATGGTACAACCCAAGATGGTACAAGAAAATGCCAAGCTTAGTTTTTTTAGGTCACCGTAAACTACACGCTTATCTGCTTTCAGAACACATAAGCCACAGGATGTCATCTCAAGTCAACACAGAAGGATAAGGACTAGAAACTTGGTTTTGGCTGTAGATATGAATAAATCAGGACAACGTTGGGGAAGTATATGTTCGTATACAAGCAGCCTTTTTTAAGGGCTCTTTTTTAACCCAGAGCCCTCTTCCTCTTTCCTCAAAGAATCTATATTCTTCTGGCAACAAAGATCTTTTTATATCTCGGGTTTTCATATTCTGCCCAGCCTATCGTAAGAGAGCACAAATCTACTAAATAGTAAAATGAGGGATTACTTCCACTCATCTGTTGACAGACATTTCTCCAAATTGGATCAAATGATTAAAGGTATTAGAATGACGTCTTGCAGATCCAGATCAAATCATTTGAAACCCTGAGACCGTTTCTCCTTTGCTTGGAAGAAACCACCAGAAATAGTTGTAGGTGCTAATTGCCCATTATTCTCACTAATGTGAAATCGTTAATTGGGACCGCTGAATATTTTGCTTGCTTGAATCCTAACCAGGGGAGTTCAAGATGGAAGGACGCTGCAGCAGCTCGCTTCCTGATGTGCCGTTCGAGGTCTCTTCCAACGCCTGAATGGTTCTTCCTCAAGTTGCTTACGCTGAGAAGAGGGGTCCAGGCTGTGAAATCTTCCAACAGCTCCCATTACAAAGATGGCACTGCTGAAAGTCAAATTCAATCAGAAGAAACGGGTAAAACTAGCACAGGGACTATGGCTCATGAACTGGTTTTCGGTGTTTGCTGGAATCCTTGTTTTTAGCATGGGATTGTTCCTCAAAATTGAACTCCGGAAGCGAAGTGAAGTGATGGACAATTCTGAAAGCCACTTTGTGCCCAATTCTTTGATATTGATGGGTATATTATCCTGCGCCTTCAATGGTTTTGCTGGAAAGATTTGTTACGACTCTCTGGATCCCGCTAAATTTGCCAAGTGGAAGCCTTTGCTGAAACCTTACCTGGCACTGTGCTTTGTCTTTAACATCCTCGTTTTCTTCGTTGCTCTGATTTGCTTTCTCATGCGGGGCTCTCTGGACAGCACACTGGCCCAAGGGCTCAAGAATGGCATGAAGTTCTACCGGGACACAGACACTCCCTGGAAGATGCTTCATGAAGAAGACCATTGACATGCTCCAAATTGAGTTCAAATGCTGTGGGAACAATGGCTACAAAGATTGGTTCGAAATTCAGTGGATCAGCAACAGATATCTGGACTTCAGCTCCAAAGAAGTGAAAGAGTAAGTGATTTAGCGGGGTTTGTATCACGTAGCATCATTATTTGATCAGTATTATCCTCAAGAAATGTATGTCCCAGCAAGCACTGACTGGAGGGGGTTTGTATGAAATGAGGTCTTTCTCTGCTCTTGCATAATAAGCATCCCAAGCAATCATCTAGATTGCCTCCTCCCCTGACAAATTCCTCTAAAGTTATTCAGAACATAAAATATAAAGTACGTTCTTACTCAGCGCAGTGTTAACAGACTTAATATTTTTTACTGTCTTTTGCATCATTATAAATCCATTATATTGAGACACACCTACCAACTCCCAAAATGAACAGGAAAGTGTCAGAAATTCACTAGCCCTAAGGCAGATTTCAATGTGATTTATTATTTCCTAAAAAAAAAAAAAAATAATTCCCTGGATATGTACTGTCGATACCACTCTAAAACTCCACTTGGATATTGGTTATGAATCAGTCTAGAGGAAATAAACAGAAGCAGTAACAGTTTGCCAATAATTTATGTGTTTTAAATCCTTAATATTTAGAATTTTATTTTTGTATTAATTTGATGGATTGCTTCAGCACTGTGGTAATACTGAGCATTAACACCTATTGATGTTCTTGCTTTACACAGTGGCCCTTGTAGCCAAATGCATTTTGAGTTCTCTCCTGTGCCTAATTTTTTAAAAGTCACATGAAACCAGCATTTATTTCCTCTATACAAACCAGAGCAGATTGTTGACCAGAAACACCTTAATGGCTTTGATGTCACTGCCCAAAGAGGCTGTAATCCCAAAATCAGGTTAGGTGCAGTAAGCTCAAGCAGAAAATAAACACAAGAACAAAATGCAGCTTTTGAAATTAAAAAAAAATAACATTGGGCATAAATACCCACAACCTTCTAAAAAATTAAGCATCAGAGAAAGAGGTGATTACTCAGGGTTCTTTGGGAACATCATTTGTAACATTCATACTCTGTGGTTGCACAATGGGTCCTGTAAACTGGAAGCAATGTGTCTTTTAAATGTACTGCCTGCATCAAAAATGTCTGAATTAATTTTAAAAAAAACTTGATGTGTCTCTTGGGATCCGCGCCTGACAGTGTAAATGGTATTTCACTTGTGTGTCTCTCTGCATATTGTTTTGACTTGTTGGGTGGTCTGGTTGTTTCTGCAATTCTGAGCGAGGACTTTGTAGTGAAAAGTATTACAGACTTAACCCATTGCTCTGCAGGGTTGTAACAAATACATTGGCTATTTAATAACAGAGCTTTTCCATTGCGAAGATACCCCCATGGATATAAATAACTCCTTGAAAAAAACTTACCAGCATTATATGGAGATTTGAGAGCTGTAACTTAATCCAGCAGCAGTGGAAGGGCAACGCACAGAGGGAAAACAAGGTTATACTGTCCTTAATAATTGATGCCTTGTTTGGGACTGAGACTCAAGGTAATTTCTTTGTACTACTGAGGCAGGAAGTAGGGCATTAAAAATCTACAAATGGATGCCAGTGAATTCAAGGTTTGTAGTACGTGGTGGTGCACAATCTCTGCTCACATTCCTGGTGAGATAGACCAGTCCCTTTGAAATCAATAGCAAAGTGCTCATTAATTCCAGGGAAGGTGAGGGTCTGTCTCCCACAATGTGATTTTTATATTATTTGTACAGTGAAGGCCTGATCCAATCCAACTGAAACTGGTGGAGAATTTACATATGAATGTGAATTAGACCTAATTCAGAGCACACTTTCCATCTAGAGATAAAACTTTAACTGCATGTGTTTAGATATATTTGGGTCATGACTGCAAAGTGGAATTTTCCTTCACCAGACTGTTGCAATCACCACTCTCTCTCTGACACAATTTCATATTATCCTTATAGAAAGCTACAAGTGACACTCAGATTTTTTTCACCTTTCTAGATCACTGAGGCTTTCCATTCTGTCATTTTCTAAGGAAAATGGAGTGTGTTAGAGTTGCACTTCTCTTATTATAGCCTTTTTTTGTAGTGCTAGTGGAACTATTTGCCTTCTGAGGTATCTCTTACCTTATAAGGCACCAAACTGAATGACTGTTTATGGAGAACAACCACAGTGTCAAATGAACAATAGCTGGAAAGCTCCTGCAAGGACTTTGGGAATTTTGCAACGTCCTGTTGCTGAAGCACAATTCATGTTTCAAATACTGGATGTCTTCCCAAGCCAAGAATAAATGCATAACCCCTCCCTGGAGTTATTATCATCAAAGAGAAGCTATTAGCTTTGCTGGATCAATGTCTAGCTGGATATGGTGGGGCCTAAGGCTGTCAGGTCACTTCCAGCATCTCCCTTCCACATTAGCTATGCTGTGATCACTCTTTTCTAACTGCCCCTCCTACAATTTCCCTCTGCCATTTACTTTTGTTAAAAATTAATTTCTTTGAAGAAGTGACCCAAGAACACGCACTTCCATCATGAGCCTTGACATAGAAAAGGATTTCAGAGAGGAAAAATACCCAGGACAAACACCACTTATGTGAACAGGGGATGTGAAGGAATGGCATGGTCAGGAGGCACAGTGGAAAATTCTCCATGCCTTTGCTCTCCTTCTTCATGCAGGTTTGTTCCTGCGTATCTTTGCATGGCGTGTGTGTTGTGTGTGTGTGTTCACGCTCCCTTCTGCCCTTGCCCACAGCCGGATCAAAAGCAATGTGGACGGAAGGTACTTAGTGGATGGCGTCCCCTTCAGCTGCTGCAACCCAAGCTCCCCGAGGCCCTGCATCCAGTACCAGATCACCAACAACTCAGCTCACTACAGCTACGACTACCAAACGGAGGAGCTCAACCTGTGGAACCGCGGCTGCCGGGAGGCCCTCCTGAGCTACTACAGCGGCATGATGAGCTCCATGGGTGCCGTCACCCTCCTCGTCTGGCTTTTTGAGGTAACCCTCCCCTCTCGGCCCCGCTTCGCTGGAGCACCAGCTCTGGAGGAGCAGGGTGTTTTTCAGCGTGGACTTTTCAGTTAAAGGTCAAATCTATTTAAAATAAATCGCCAGCTGCCATTCTTTGGCTGAGGAAACTTCTAACAGTGAACATCTGCATAAGGCCCAAAAGGTCTCAGGCTGGAGATAGAGCTGAGAAGCATTGAGTGGGTGTGGGATTATGGACCCCCCTTGCAGAGCAAGGAGCCAGAACCTCAAGTATCCCACAGCAAGAGGGAAAAAGGGACCAATTTTCTGCCAAATGCAAGGTGCTGAGCAGGGAAGAGACTCTGAGGGCTCTGCTGTCCAGATGCATTAATTCCATGTGTCACCATTTGTGGGCAATGAGAAATACACAAAATGTTGGCAGTAATTTGTGGAACAGAAACTGCAATCAAGGGATTTACCTGCTGATGAAAATAAGACCTAAAGCCATGCATACTGTTCAGCTTCAGGGCAACATTTGGTTTAAGGTCTTTCATCAGATCCACCAAGGTTTTTGGGGAGAAAGAGGGGTTTAGGCAGAGCAGGTGGATTAAATTTATTTTATTCTGCTTCTTAAAACCACTGTGCATATGCAAACAGCTGCCAATACTGCCTAGTGCAGATGTCTGCGGGCACCATAACCCAAAGTGCAGCTTTGCTCCTGAAATACTATTCATTCAGTGTGAGGAAAACATGCCCTCCTGCCTCTGGGAGGTGGCCAGTTTTCTAGCTGGGGTTTAATCAATACTAATACTCGGGGAGCGTGGGCTGGCAGTGGCACAAGGGCTGGCGTGTGAGGTGCTGGATGCAGAGGTAAGGCAGCACCAGAGGACAGAGGTGAGGGTGCAGCTCACTGTGTGACACAGAGTGCAGCAGACCCTTCCCAGTTCTTGAGATGGCTGCTGTAAGTGGCATTGCCTATTTTAAATGATTCAGCTGGCTTCTAAAAAATTTAGATGCATGCAAATTGAAAAAAGATGTGCTATGTTTTGATAGAAGCACTGGCCCACAGCCTTCCAGGAATGGAGATTTTTTTTCAGAAAATAAACACCTATCCAGATAATCTGTAAATTGGAAAAAAAAAATCATAAAGTTACTCTGTGTTGCATTGTTTTAAAAATAACTACTCTGAATGGCAGAGAACTGTACTACTTCCTTGCAATGCTGTTATTCTGGTAAGAAAAGAAAGAGAAGCTCATATTTCAATCCAGATTCAAAGACAGAGTTCTTGAAGAGAGAGGGATTTCAGGTATATATGAAAATCATGAAGAATTTCAAAAACTCAGGGGAAAAATGCACAAAAATACTAATGCCAGCTGCAAAAAATCATGACTAGGGACCTGTAACATACCTCTGGTGACTTGTAAGAGGTTAATGACAGTGATATGTTAACATTAATAGCAGTGATAAAAATGCAGTATTTTATGTCTAACTCTTTGAAGTACATCTGGGTATTTTTTTCAACCTGTGGCATAATGAGAAATAAAATCTCTTCTTCATCTTCTTCAAAATAGGAGCTGAGACTTTTAAAGAAACAACACCATCCTGGGTTATAATAACTTGCCCTCCTAAATATTTATGGTTTGCCTGATAGTCTTCCATAAAGGGTCCAGATTTGGGTCTCAAACTTCCTCTGCTTTTAAGGCAAATTGAAGGGAGGAAGTCAAGCAGGAAGCAGACATTAATTTAGTCTCCCTTGAAATATTACCACTTCCTTTAAATTCCAGTCAGGATAGGAAACAATTTTACAGTGAGTAGGAGGGCAGCAGAGGTCCCAAATCCTGGCCAAGGTAAGTGTGGGTCTGAGCAGGGTGCGTCCAGCAGGCAGTGATTGTGCTGGCTCTGTGCTTCTCATTCCCTCTTGGACTGACTTTCTGAGAAGTTACCGAAAAGTGCAGAAGCAAAGGAGCATCCTGGTTTGCTTTGTACCTGGAGCTGCTGTGAATTCAAGCCAGGAAACCCTTCTGAGGGCCGCAGAGGACTCTTCCAGCAGGGTTGTTGGTACTGGAGTGTGGGGAGGGGGACAGAGCGTGGAGGGGAACACTAATCACAGCTGCTATTTTGAGTTGTAGGAGAACATAATATGTCAAACAGGTGTAGGGAAGGCCATTCAGGTTTAACCTTTCTACATGAAGGGCAAGGAAGAATGAACCTGTTTTGGAATATCAAAACGTCTATTTGAAAAGAAGGATAATTATCTAGAGTATTATCTAGATGCTGCTTTTACTAACAAAAGCTGTAGGCTTCCCGTGAGTGACAACTGGTCATGAGGGTGACAAAAAAAGATCTCACCCTGCTCTAGCTAAGCCGCCTCAGGCTAAACCCTGGCAAACAGATGGGCTTCGCTGCAGAAGGTCAAGCAGAGCAAGCCTGGATGTCTTCTCGACCCACCTCAGCCAGCAAAGAGGAAATGAGCGGTTCAAGGGTGCCCTGAATAGAGCATTTCAAAAGGAATAGAGTGACACTGGTTCCTGAGGTATTCCAGGTCCTTCACCTGTACAAACACATAGGTTGCAATAGGTCAGAGCTACTGCAAAGGCCCAGACCCTGCAATTCCGCTCACATGTGGTGCCACAGAGGGAGCCCAGCACTGAGCTCCAGGAGAGCAGTGACACACGAGCAGGAGGCACATTACACATCCTGTGCTGGAGAGTGAACTGGTAATCTTCAAAACCAGCCCACGGGCAGCAGGGACACTCCAGATGGACACAGTTCACTCTGTTGGCCCAGATCGAGGGGCTGAGCCTGCTGTGGTGCAGGGGATACACCAGCCCAGCCTGCCCATCCCTAGCCCTGGAGAAACACTGTGACTGTGTTCTTCCTGCTGCTTTAAAGTTGATGTAAAATGACAAGGGTTTCCATGACAGTTTGTCTGTTGGCCAGGGAAATCATCACTCAGCAAGACTGGACTAGCAGTGGGGCCCTCATGCCCCAGCCTTCTCTGCTGGACTGCAGTTCAGCTCAGCTTTACAGCTCAGTCACAGATTGCTTAAGGCTGAAGGCCTAACTGTGGCCTCACCAAGGCTGAGTAGAGAAGTGTAACATTCCTCAACCTGCTGGCAATTGTTTGTCTAAAGCAGCCCAGGATACAGTTTGCCCCCTTGCCACAAGGGCACACTGCTGGCTCGTGGATGACTTGGTGTCCCCCAGGACCACAAGGCCCTTTGCTGCCAAGCTGCTTTCAGCCAGTCACACCCCCAGCATATACTGGTGCATGGATTTATGCCTTCCCTGGTGCAAGACTTCAGCAAAACTGGTGGTCCAAGACTCTATGTGATCATATAGGAGACAGACAAATTCACCAGATACTTGCCCCAAACTTCCTGGATTCTCTTCTCCTCTGGCAGAGAAGGCAGGCTCAGGTCAGTGGAGCTGAAAAGAGCCTGAATGTTTTGCACTGTTTTTAAGGAATCTCAACTTCAGGGACCCCAAATCTTTCTAAGCAAGATTTTTAAGAAAACAATGTCTTAAACTGAGAGACAATGTCACAAAATCTCATCTGAAGGCTGGTCAGTTGCTCCCTGCTGCACAAACACATTCCTTTTTTAAAGCAGGACCATATTTAGTGACTTAGAGCCAGCCAGGAAGCCTGCAAGAACACCTACTTCAGCTGTCAAATAGAGGGACTTGGCAAGTCAATCACAAAACACAGCTCCTGCTGACATGCAGTGAGGCAGCACAAGTAGAGAGCAACATGGAGGCCACCTTCTGCATCCAGTCCTGTAAATGTATACTGGCAACAGCATTTAAGTTCAAAGATATCTCAGTCCTGTGACTGAGAACAGGAAAACTGTGACTCAGAATGGAAGGAAGATGTCAAAGACTTTAAATCTCAAGACTAATGTGATAGGATTTGTCAATTCTGATGACTTTTATAGATTAGTTCTTCAGCTGATTCAAGTCATCCTAGTATTGGCTAGATGAGATTATTTCCAGAGTCAGGGCCCCTAGAAACCTCCTTGAGGACCAGCGTGTGGTAAGTCATGCATTCCTATGTTAAAGAGTATGAAAATTTGCCTTTGGATGTGGAAGTATTTGATGAAGCTTGTTTGTTTGACCAGTGTTTTTCCCTTTCTGATCTTGAATGAAGGCAGGGAAGTATGAACATCTGCAAATTTTGAGAGTAACCAAGTGTAATTCAGTCTTCCAAGAGTTTGGAGACACTGATCCTTCACAGGTTGGATGACCACAGTAGACAGGCTAATGAATGGTCCATGGAAGCACATGCTTGAGCAGCCCCTTGAGTCCAAAGGCCAGATGTGAATACTGCCATTGGCCATGCTATGTGGCTGAATCCCAGCTGCCAACCTGCTGCCCTCTTTAGCCATTAGGGTTTAGGAGGACTAGAGGTAATCAGTTCCGTGGTAATTTGGATAGGGTAACAGGGGCACTGTACTTCCCTTACAGAACAAATCCTATGAGGTTATGGACAACATTAAATGTTCTCAATCTTAGCTTTACCCAACATATGAAAGATTAATCTTACTGCTACCCCATCCTGACCACCTGCTCTACCACGTCACCAGGCTGGCTCTTCTGGGCACTGCCTTTTCTTTCTCTTTCTCTGCCTCCATCTGATTGATTACTTTTCTTCACAAGCACCACAACAGTGGAGGTCAGATTGTTCTCAACAATGTTAGAAAGGAGAAGACTGGTTAAAACCACTCCTTCTCCCTGGAGACAGGTGTGGGCTGTTTACAGTGTTAGGGGTGTCACACCAGAATAATATAGTAGAAAAAAAATCTTATTCAGGGCTGCTGGGAGTCAGTAATATTTAATTGGAAATAGATAGGAATTTCAGATGGAACCAGTGAGAGATACACTTGCTGCCTTAATTTCCTTATACGCATATCTCTATATAAAAACAAAACCAGAATTTGAAGTAGACAAAGTGATGGCTCAAATCCTAATGCTGCTCTGTTCTGCGGAGTTGCTGATGCATGAATATTTCCTCAATCAGCTTAATATACTCACCAAACATATTAAGGTCAATGCAAAGTAAAAATATTTAGAGTTAAAATTAAGAGGATGGTGGAACAGGACCTTGTTCCACATAAAAACTGCTTTGTGGATATCTAGTGCAGAGGAGCAGGGGTTGCACTAAAACCTCCCAGGAGGCACTGGCCCTGTGATGGGCCATGTAAAATGGTCCCTTGTGCACGTGGCCCCTCAAAGGTGCTGTTCCACAGCAGCCAGCACGTACTTCTTCCATAAGCTGATGCCTCCACTCATTGCTGACTGAGTGTCATGCTTCCCATGGTGCTCACCCATTTCAGAACTCCACCTTTTTTCCTACTCTTGAAGGGACATTTTCCTCCTGGGCATCTCAAGGGGGAAGGCTGCTCAGGATCTCCTCCTTTGCAGAGGATTCCCACAGCCCTTAAGCTGTGCCCAGTTGGTGCCTTTGGCATTTTGTTCCCACCACAAGCCAGGGCTGCTGATAGCAGAGGACAGTGAGGACGTGGGAGGAGTATCCACGTTTGGCTGACATTCTCTGTCTTTTCCATTGCCTGGCACAGATATCGGTGATGATTGGCTTGCGCCTTCTACACACCTCTCTGGAAAGCATTCCAAACCCCGAGGACCCTGAATGTGAAAGTGAAGGGTGGGTCCTGGAGAACAGCCTGAAGGACACTTTCAAATCCGCACTGGAGAATTTGAAAAAGCTTGGTAAGTTCAATCAGGTGGAAGCAGGAGCTGAAGGGGCCGAAGGAGAGGAAGGAGGGAAGACGCAAGCCATCACAACGGTCAGTTGAGCTGCTAATTGATGTGGACTTTTTTCTCAGAGAAAAATAAAACAAACTGAGAATTGTGAATATCTACAGTTTAAAAGTTATGTATCAACGATCAGAATACACATTTCTGTGCATCTTCTTTTTTGTATATGGGAGCATACAACATAGTGCACCTTGGGATAATACTCTTATCTACAGTGTGAGTACACCATATCCCTATCTTTTTGGGGATATGACCCCAACTAGGACTCACAATATTCATGTGTTCAGGGACAGTTAGTTTAAAAATTCAAAAAACCCACAAAAATTAAAAAAAAAAAAAAAATTAAAATTGCTGGCATCACCCAGTGATCCATTCCATCTTATTTTGAAATTAAAAGTGAAATTTGAAAAGTTACTATTTTTTGCTCAAGTTGTTTTATCAGCACAATTTCTATACTTCAGCTTTTAAAGACAAACAGATTGGGTTTCTGGAGAGTAACGTGTTAGAACTGAAAGGAAGGAAGATTTCTAGAGTTGTATATAACTTAGTATACAAGTATTTCGACAAACCTCTCATATAATGTGATTTTTGTTAATGTGCTAAGCAATGGTATTTTCTGCTGTATTCTTAAGATGTACATAGAACAAAATGCAAACTTATGCTGAGAATTTATATACTAAGAAAAAATTGTAATTTAATGAAGCAGCCAAGCATCATGAAAACAACATTAAGGTAAGATTCACGGGGTTTGTTTCTCAGGGGTTTTTGCAGGCTGAATATCTTGAATGCATGTGTTGTAGACATACACTGCACCTTGTATTTAAATTCTACACAGAAGCTTAGAAGATTCTTTCTGTAGCGGGTCAAATCCATGCTATGAGTATGTGCCAGTTACTGTTACTCTGGACATTTTACAGAGTATGTAACCTCATAGCTTGCTCCAGAATATTCAAGCCAAATTATTTTTAATGCAAGAAAATAAAAGAAACCCAAAACCAAAAAGCCCCCTTGGAACTCATACTTTAAATATTTTTCAAGGTCCTAGAAAACGGATACCATTGATCCACAAGTACATCAAGCCTCAAATTTTCAGGCCAGGGAAAACTAAGTTCAAATCAATCCTCAGTGTGCAAATTTTACTTTTCTATCAGTGATGGGGTACCCCTCATTATATTTTTTAAATCAATTGGAAGGCACATTTTGCATATGCTGCATCTCTCTAAACATACTCTCATAGTTGGAGGATCCTGTTCTCATATACCACGTTGGAATAAAGCATGGAAAGAGTTTGCTGTGGTGCACAGCCTCTAGTAAGGCAACAGAGCATCATCTTGAGTTTATCTTCAGCTGTCGGATAACTTCAGCTAAAGGGAAAGAAACCCAAGAGAACAAGCCCCAGTCATGCACAAATAATTGCAGACATCTCAGTCCCTCTGCTGCAAGCCAGGCATCACACTTGTTTTTATTTTGGATGGGCAAACCCTCTACTGCTCCGGGGTGTACCTGGGAGAGGTTTCTCAATGAGTCCTTTCCAGCTGACTGGTGGCTGGTCTTCAAAGTAAGCCATGTTTGCAGCTGCCTAATCATTGCACAGCCCATTGGTTTTCATTCTTAATCCCTTGTGCACTTGCCCCAACAGCGCTCAGCTTCTCTGGCTTTTGTTCAAACTCCTTCTAGGTTGGGCAGACCAGTTCAAGGCAGGACAGGTAAGGACATGTCTGTACATCAAGCCATAGTTTCTGTCTCAGTGGCCAGGCTGTTTCAGGCCATCTGCACGCAAGGTTTGATTTTGACAGGTATTTGGGGTGTCCTTTCACTTTTTCAAAGCTGGCCAAAGCTTTAACTTATGATAATGAACTTAGTTACAATAATGAATTAAAGTCACTTTCTTCATTTGTGCATAAGACTGTCTAGAACATGGGCACTGACAAAAAGCCAATTTGCTACTCACCACAGCCTATCACCTCTTGCTTTGTTGAGGGACACTCTGCATGGCAGAACTGTACGAGCCAGAGCAACTCCTTCCTTCTCAGTCAGACGTTGCTATGGCCCGGCTGCCCCTCTCAGCTGGGCCATTAGAGAAGAGCAGGATTGTGGATGGCACACGATGTGGCCCACCTGTGTCAGAGAAGAGCTTTTCAGAGGACTCATGTGTGGATAGGAGCTGCGTCACAAGGATTAATTACAGTTTTTCCTTGTGAGACTTCCGCGTGCTGTGATCTATACCAGTTATTTGACTAGACATCTGATTTTTCAAAGAGATCTAGATTTATTGCTGCCCTAGGAATCTGGTTTAGGCCATTAATTTAGACAGGACTCCCCAGTTATTTGTGGTCTCTTTTTTTTTTTTTTTTCAGTTTATTGGTACAGCAACATAACAAATTGTCGAATTATTCTTTCGACACCACATCGATAAGCCAGTTCCCAGAGCAATGGTACTAGGCAGGTAAAGAGACCATCTGAGACAGGTTTATGAAAAACAGTACTGGAACCAGGGAAAAAACAATGAATATGCTAATTCTGTCAAAAATAAAGAAAGCCTCCTGGTTGGTGAAGATCTTCGTAACATGGTTACCACAAGACTGTAATACGACTGCTTTGTAAAATATTACATGTAATATATCACTCATCCAATCTTACATATACTTTCTTGTGACACTGCAAATGCTGTTCTAGATAAAGGTATTTCTGCTGACTGCAAATGTAAATTTAGGTATTAAAATTGTATTGCAAGTAAAGATCTCTTTAAAGAAAATGTTTAAATATATACAGTTTAATACAGATTTCTCTAATTTGCATTACTGCTGAGTTTTTCCTTCTGAATTCATTTTTTGGACCTGTTTTATGTGTTCCCCCTGTGGGTGGGAAGGTTTTCCCTGCCTCCATATAATGCTCTGAGAGAAAGCAAGCCTTCCTCTTTTCATGTACCCAGCTAAGCTCAGGATGTGCAAACAGACTCCTAAATCACCTGCCTCTTACTAGAGACAGAATGTGCTGTACTATTTGAATAGCATCCTCTTGTAGTACATAGGAATTAAAACATCTTCACAGCCACAGAGATGGTCTTCTGGTCATGCTCCACCAGTGAAAACACTGATATCCTCAGGATCTTTGACAATCAGCTAAGCTGGGTTTATAGCCTCTTTTTTTTGTCCCCCTATTTAAATCAAACTTGCAATGGACATTCAAAAGAAGACTGTTCTTATTTTAAATTTAAGTCTAAAGCTCCCCCAGCCAAATCTGCCTGCAGCAATCCGACGACTTCCAGAGCCATGCCCTGATTTTCAAACTCATAAACTTCAGAAGGATGTGAGCTTAATTCATGCAAACCAGGCCACTTCTTTTTAGGTACCTCCATGTGGATTACCAGCTTAAATCCAAGTACACAGATCTGAGAGCCAGCCCAAGGCCTTGAAGTGTCAACTCTTAAGAAACCGTCACTTTTTAAAGAAATGACAAAAAGTACACTATTTTGCTGATGACATTTATTTGAAGGGACACAGAACATTGACTAAAGTGCTTTAAAGGAGGAAATATAAACAGCTTCCTTAAAGCTATTAGTTCTTAAGTAGCCTTAATACAATTGATAAGATTAGCCTCCATGCTAATTAGCCTCCTCATGAGCTTGGGTATTTTGTAATACCACACAAATACATGTGTGCAGCTTAGCAAAGCGCATGGGAATGCTATATCGGGCTCACAGGCACCACACGTCCTTCCTAGCTAATGGCCTGGGCAGATTTTAAAGGCTGATATAAAGAAAAAAAAAGGATGCCAGCAGAACAGTAACTTATTTACACCTAACTTGCTTGGTTTGTAAAAAAAGACAACACTTCTCTGAGCATAATTAATGGAAAACGGGGAGGGATCACAGATGCTTATTTAAAAAAAAAAAAAAGAAAAGAAAGAGCATTATTAGAGATTAGTTAATTAAGAGATAAGGCCAGAAAAATAGAATGGAACCATGTGATAACAGCCCCCTGTGGGGAAGACATAGGCTTAGGCAAATTTATTTCTGGCAACAGCAATGCAGCTATCTCAAATCTGAAGTAATGCTACGTGGAACTTTTTTTGAGTTGTATCAGACCTATAATGTTCAGTGACTGACTGAAACACTGAAGTAGTAAAATGCCTCTCTCAAAGCAGATGCACTTGCTGTTCCCATGTAATTTCACAGGTATTGCTGAATTTGGATCCAAAGCACATTTGTGAGGTGGGAAACGCTGGCCTGGAGCTCAGCTTTGTGGGCTCTCCATTACCTGCACCATCTTGGCAGCACCTTTCCCTGGGGAACACACCCGTTTTGCAGTCCTCCCCTCACATGTGGTGCCAGAGGAAAGGCTGAGCAGGACTCTCACCTCCCATCCCACCAGCTCCTCCCAAAGCACATAGAACTAGTACAACTAGTCTTGCCTGATTAACCTGTTTCTAGTAAAAAGAAGGATAGTCCATAAACACGAACTACTAATGACGAAGTGCATTTCCATAGTTTGTTCTCAAAACTTTCCAGAGCAAAGGATGGTGTGGGAATTAGAGAGACCAGTCAAACAGCAAAACAAGGACCAAAGGGCAGGTTTCCAGCCTGCCTTTGGGGTGATGCACACCAGGCAACCAAGCCTCCAGGCACTGCACGTCACATTCCCGGGCAGGAGGGTCAAGCATTGCAAATCAGAAATGGGGAGACTTGGGCATGTGAAACATGGTAAGGCAAAACTGCAGCTGGAAGGGCGAGGGAAGGAGAAGACCAGAACACTAAGTCTGAGCAGCACACAATTCCACAAACTGACAGTCTTGTTAACAGGGTGAAAGTGAAGTTTAATTCTTGAAAAAAACCCCACAGAAGTCACTTTGAAATATGTGACAATATAGAATTTAACAGCTGCATCCAAGAAACACTGTCCCTGCCAGCTGTGTGTGCCTCCCGCTCTCCAGCCAGGCAGCAATGTCAGTATACACAAGCTGGAAGGAGATGCTCACTGCATTTTACAAATTGCCTCCTGCCTTCCCAAGTAACTGTTCAGAGGGCAGCACAGCTCTGCCTTAGACAAT